GATCTTCTACAAGCTCTTGTCTTCAGTTTTCAGGCAAAAGCGGAAAACTGATCACCACCCCTGGCAAAGGATATTTTCACCTTAACATATGTGTTGAAAGACGCATCACTATCAATGGATCTGCTACAACACCATAACCTACTCATGGACTCAGGCAAACTGAGCTCGATAGGTAACAATGCTAAATTAGAAATTTGTGCAGTCTCTTTTTCCGGTTTCCTGTTATTCCCGGTTATACTTAAAGGCTTTACGTGTCCGTCCTCCACACCGAAGCTAGATAACTACCCTAATATACACAGAACACGATTTTTTCTACCTTGATCAACATCAATTTCAAACATCACATGAAAACTATGGTACTTCTTATATTTTCTTCAAAAGCTGAGGCTTGCCAAAAACAAACTTGGACACATGGCAGGTTTACGGATTATCGGAATGTGGAACAGCCCATGGTCATCCCTCTTGAACTTAACGTCTAAAATGAATAACGATGATCTGCATTCAACTGATGACCGTTAGAGATTTCGTAAAAAATCCACACCCAGCCGTTACCTCTAGACGCAGATCCACAACTAATTTGAAAAAGAAAAGCTGTCTCAAATCGACCAGATAAAAGCGCATAACCATATTTGTAGGACAGTGGATGGCATCCCAAATTTGGTAGTCATCACTCCTTTTGGAGGCAAAGAATTATGACATATGCCTTTCGGTCTAAGGAATGTCAATGAAACCTGTAATTATTAATTTATAACGAATTCGGAGGTCTGAAGTTTTAGTGATTACTGCCTGACTGAAAGTCTGAACGAAAAATCTCATCTCCAGCATCTAGATATTGTTGACCTGATTCTTTCCGTCATCCGTACTAATTGCTTTACACTATACAATACCTCATAATTAGTCTTTACCACTTATATGACTGTCAGTAGCTCATAAGACACCATGAAATATGGGAACTATATGTTTTTCTGCTTCGACTGCTTTCTGTGCAACATCACAACTACCAGAAGTTGGGTATCAATAAGTTCTATTAGCTGTACGCTACAACACTCCTCACCTGAACCACAGCCAGCATGATGCAACACCAACAATATGGTTTCATCAGAGGCTTGTCACAGTCATCAGAAGATCCGGACTGAATGAAAATGCCTATTTATATTTTACGCAAGTAAAATGGGTTGAAGTATTCTAACATACTTATGTATGTGTCTGACTTTTTTAAATCTATGTGGTGTTGTGTGTTACTTTTATCGCTGTCGCATGATATAAATACGCACGTATAACAATATTCATTTTCGCACATTCTGTTTGCTTACACAGTCACGACCGTATTATGAAATGCACTTAAATTCTCAGCTTTTCTGCTTGACTCCGGAGAAAGACGAAGGGAAAAGAGGGAACTCGAAAACCTCACTATTTAATTGTATGTTTTTTACGTATAATAGTTTACTTCACAGGTCCTTAATGTAGGAGAAGACGACTGGACGCTGGTGAGTGACGCGAGCTATCAGGAGAATGTTTACCAACATCAAGTACGTTTGATTTAAATTTCCGGATAATCACATCATCGGGTCATCACTAGCCGCCAGGATGGAGTTGCCAGTAGAGGTAAAATATCCCCAGAATAAGTCTTTGAAATTGATGCTAACCTAATTAGTTTTAATGTACACACCAATCTGAAGGATCTCTGTCACTCATCTGCAACAGATCACCATTAGGTACTACATGTAGCGCATCTCCTCTCGCAGCTTACGAGCTTAGTTCACACATTACTTGACATCACAATCATCACTGAAATACATATTCAGTCCTCAATATTCCTGGCTTCTAGTCTCATGTACCTTCAAACATTCTTGGTTTCAAAGGTGTTAGTGACAAAAGCGATGTCTAAATTTGGATTTTCTTGATGTCCTCAGACATTAGCTCAAGCTTGGGGATAAAGGCGAGGCTAACGCAATTCCCCCACCCTTTGTAAAAGCACACTTGCTCATTTTTCTCAGAATTGTCCCTGACACTGTTCAAAACATATGCACCACAAACCTTGAAGTCAACAACGCTTTTTCTCTTTTTCTCTTCCGAAGATATGTAAATCTCTTTCATAAAGCTCAGAGACGGACTAGTAAATGTTGAATAAAGCTTCAGAATGAATCTTATAACTATTCACTGCGACCCTTGAGATTTATAACTCCAAGTTAAGTGTGAATAAATTGTGATCTGATGATGGCATAAATAACATAAATAACTTCACTAACCAGTAAAGTATTTCTGTCACACTGATAATCATCTCATTTTTCACCGTGATCCCCCTACTCTTTGCACTGCCAATAAATTAACTTATATAAACATTTAATTAATTCTTGAAACAATCAACTTCCTGAAGAATTAAAATTTTCACTGTATTATTCCTTACAGTGCACTCAACCGACCTCCTACCTTATAACATGATTGCTGCTAGTATCCAGAAACTTGGTGCACTGAGAAATACGAACTCAATCAAATTACAATATATAAAATTTGGTAAAAACTACCAAAACGGTAGGAATTAGTGCATCTGAGTTATTGATTAGCATTCATCGGATAATATCGAACACCTGGATCCGTACCGAAACAAAAAAAGCGAGTTCAAAAGAGTTATTCAGTGAACACTAGCTAGAGTAAAAGATTTTAAACCTATCGAAAATGGAAATCGGTTTATGTAATGGTAATGAATGTATTCGATTGCACGTTAGCTCACTACTGTTCAAAAGCAGGAAAATGATGTAACAAAAACATGCTGCGTTTCGTGCTTTTTTTTCTAGTCGGTTGGTAATCACATTAGTTAGAATCATGTTGGTTTTGTTGATATTTCCCTCCATGAATTCGGACAATGAAACTGCTTCAAAAGGCGTTTGAAACCATTAACTTTGTTTTTATGTTCGTCCACGTAAGACAGTACTGATCCGAGAAGCTACAGGTCTCCTAGAGTTATCCAGTAAGAAATTTGATAGTAGTTACACTGGTGACCCGACTAAGGATAGTAAACAGTGTGCAGGTGAAGAAAGTGCTATTACAGGTGGAGCCCAACATAGCTACGAAAAGTGCGGGATGAATTTTTCTTTGAATCAAACGGTGTTAAATATACAAGTACTGAAACCACCAAGTATTCCACAACAGCTTTTCTGAAACTAAAGACGGATTACAGTGGCAGGTCAGTCTTCCCTCACTCTGTGAAGGAAAGCGAAAGTCGTGAGACAGAAACCTTCGATGCCTTTTTAAAACACTGATGCCTTAAGACACTCAAGAAGCTAGAGAATTTAACGGACTAGCAAGAAAACTAATCTGGGTTGCTAAAGGAAGTATTTAAACTTCCAAGTGAAATGAATTTAATACTATAAATATACTATATAAATGAAGAGGACCAAGAGATTTTTCTGTAAAGACATGTCACCCGTTGAAAATAATAGAAAACGAGAGTCAGAAAAACTGATAATACTGTTACTTGCTGGCGAAAAGAACCTCAGGACTATGAAGTTCCAGATAGTGAGGTTTCCACAGAGAACGATGTCGAAGCCACTTTCATTACAACAAGAAGGCAGTGAAATGGTCTCCTGATCTGCTGCGTGCTCAACTAGACCATACTCAGGTAACTACTAGAAAATAGCGAATTCTTCGGAAGTCATATCGACATACGCTTTAATCTATCTGCAACCCAAAGGAGATTTATAAGAGACTGTAAGGAATCCATTATAAGTCTTGTCCTCAAAACTGGCACGAAACAAAAACTGTTTTAGAAAAGTACAAGCCTATTAGTACATCCTTTAATGTTAAAAGCTATCTGTCGGCGTAATCTTCAGTTACTTCAAAAAGGATTTCGACAATCTGACAAAGTTAACTTATATTTAAATTAGGTGACATAGGGATTAGAGACAATTTACTCATCCGGGTTGAAGAATCTCTGGTCAGTCAATGATGAGAAGTACGAGTTAACTTCAAGTTATCTAAATGAGAAATCTCGCCAAACGGGGGACTGCGTGGTGCAGATTTTAGGGCTAGTATTGCTCCTCCTGTTTATAAATGATTTTCTTAACCCCCTTATCTTCAGTGGTTTTAGTTATATGCTGATGATATCGAGGTTTGAAAAGCGATAAAAAAACTAAGGTGATAGTTTACAGCTCTCAAGTGGCCTATATGAGTGATTTCAAAGGCCCAGGATTTGATATGTGACAATAAACACATGCAACTACATCATGATGTGCACTGTTATCCAAGGAACAGATACATACATGGGGAATAACACTCATCTGCCTGTTACCCAGAAACGATAATGTAGGAATAATCATTAACCAAAGCTTGAAAACTACAGTACACTGCCAGGTGGTAGCTGTCAAAACATTTATAACCCCATGGTCAATACGTAGAGCCTTCAGTCATGTCGACGAAAGGACAGTTCTGACTTATATATAATTCTTGACTGACCAAAGCTTCAGTATCGCTTACAAGCAGACAACTTCTGCCTATTAGAAAAGGTATAAACGACCTCGACCAAGTTGGTTCCAAAAATTTCAAAACCTCTGTGTGAATATAGAACGGTTACAGGATTTTCCTTTCAATGCAGGCTAACAACATTTTCCAAACTCCTACTGATAAATTTGTACCCAACATGCCTTCATTTTTTCGCCTTCCAAAACAGAAAGGATAGTGTAAAATAGTTCAGAAACCAACAGAAAGTCACTTTTATCCAGGGACTTTTGCCTCGACAAAAAAAATAGAGCTAGATTTGCCGACGTATTAAAGAAGAATGAATCAACTGATAGATTGAAATTGCTAGGACTAACACAGGCCACGAAACCTTCTAACCTTTCTATGCTGAAATTGATGATGATACTACCGAAAACCTGGAACGATACCGAAAGAACAGGAATCGAGGGCAAAGAAATCAACTGGTTTATACTAGATCGTGAAAAAGATATTCGATCTTAGATATTGGATATTGGGTATTGCAAATCGCGCGTTGCTTAATACATGCGCTACTTAATGGACTAGATGGAAGCTGTCAGAGTTAGGAAGCCCAAGCTGAAGGTTTGATTTGACTTTGCATGTTACCTTTAGACTGAAGAAATTATTGCTCGACTTGAGTCTATTGAAGTTCCTGACACTCCTCTACTAGTTGATAATGAGGTGCCTGCTAGTCCTGAGCCAACAGTTTCTGAAATCAGATCATCCGAAAATGGGGTTAATATTGTCCAATCAACTTCTAATTCTGAGGAATATTCATCTGCAAAAGATTCTATTTCTCTTTATCCTTCATTGGATGATCACTTTACTAAAAACGATCCTGCAGGAAATCAATCAGCTGATCTCAAAGCCGACCAACTCGTGGAAGTTGTTAGGCCAAACGAAATTGAAGCATCTGCACCAGAACTGCTTTCAAAATCACTTGAAGAGAGAGACTTCGTATATGACAATTTCCCTCCTGCACTGAGTTCGGAACACTTAAAAAACCTGTACTTGAACCGTTCTCTTGACCTAATAGATGAAACGGAACAAAAATTTTTGAAAGTATAGTGTTCTTCAAATTGTATTAAATTTTAGGGATCCGATTTTCAACTGCTGGCTGTGTCCGATTCAAGTGGATTCAATATACCTGATGATCCATTTTACTTACTTCTTTGTAAATATGCCGATAATTGGGGAAAATGGTCACAGGCACTCAAACGTCTAAACAAAGTGCTTAAAGAATCGTCTGAAATGGAACAGTCAGTCTGGAAAGTGGTAAAAAACACCCAAAGTATAGACGTTAGTATTCTTTAGAATTTACCAAGTATTATCATGAGTTAATAAATTAACACGGCTGAATGTCATGTATTTCAACATTATTTTTAGATATATAGGCATTATAACTGGAAAAAGTCCATCATTTTGTTTAACTTTGGTGATTTCTCTTAAGTGTGTATGCGATTGTTTGAAACATATTAAGCTGTCTGGCAATTGTACCAGCATCGAAAGTTTAATTTCTCTGCAGAGAGGTGTTTCACATTCAATTGCCCGTAAGGTTGCATAATTTTGTCACCCGTCAAATCACCAAACAAATCAAAAAAGTTTTCATCTATAATTCATATTTATTTCACAATGGAGATGTGTATATGTAGTGTTCCAATCGATGTTTAGCCGTTTATATGAACCTTCGAGAAGAACAACTTGTGTAGATACATTTCATTTATGTTCTTGCCATATCATTTTTAGCTTTTTCCAAACTGACATCCTTTTTTGTAGATATAACGTTAAGGAAGTGAATAATAAGAAATGGTCGAAAAAATTAATTACTACTATTTCTGTGCACTAGGATGTGAATGACAAATTTTCACCTACTTAATACCTAGAAAATGTAAATGGGATCTCCCTAAAGGCTCTAACGCAAGCGTCAAAGATTTCATCGGGTTGCGTCATTTTATTAGTCAGTGACTCATTCACTGTTACATATTAACTTAATTCCTCTTATAACTCAAACTTCGAGGCTAGTTGTCAGTATATTTTTCAGATGAAAGTTTCAGTTTAGAGCTCATAATCTAAACGAAGATAACGGTCTAAGAAACGATATACGTTAAGCTTCCATTCATTACCTTCTGCCCAAGAAGGTAATATTATTTATCGTGACAACTTCGGCTATTTTGCCAGCTCGCAAAGGAACCAGCAAATTACTCATCCCTGTATGATATGTATGATCTAGTCTGTTTAGCACTCCTACTATTAGATATTGACAATGCGATTCAAGTAGTTTTTTATATTTATTCTGAACTTTGTATTATGGTGAGTCAAATTTCCCATTTTTTACAGGGTAAATGTCAAGACAAGAGAACAGTTTATCTTAAATATGAGTATGAAACGGCCACATTGAGTCAATCCGCACTTAATGAACTTAAAGAGACAAATGAAGTGTCGCATTGGATTATTTTCGAAGAAATTCCCCTTGTTGCATATAAACTAGTTCTTTGCAGGTAAGAGTTTTTTGGGGAAATATTAATAGAAGTATTAATTAATAGGTTAATTGTAAATCAATTTCATTAACTCGTCACCTTTAAAGAACTAATCATTACATTTCAGTAATGATTTTTCCATCAAACTTTAAGGAATCAAATATACGTTTACTGCAGATGAATAAACCGTTGTTGTGTCACAGTTAAATAACTACTTGGTAGCAGTTAGTCATTTTAAATTAATCGTCGTCATATTTCTTAGTCCTCAACGATTTTTAAATTCTTTTAACCAAAGTTTCAATGTAAATATAATTTAGGATAGTTGGCTCAAGTTTAAATTTATTTTCGACTCTTCATGTATTAGTTTGTTACTTTAACCAGGCCTTATTGGTCAGTCACAATAAGTACCAACTTGATTATGAAGCTCCATTTTGATTTCATACAACCATTATCACTGAAATGTATCCTGATTAACTGTCTGGTATAAACATAAACCAGAAATTCAAATAAGTTTATTTTTCTTAGGAAGTTGACAGCCGAATAGATTTATTTGCCACGTGAACTATGGAGAACACGCCATTACTGATATACTGTACTATTGATTGTCTCTCACCTTTCAATCTATATCTTCCAATCGATATAATACTTTACTCAAAGTCCATTGAGTTTGAGATTTTTTGAATTGGACTTATTTAGTTTATGTAATTCTCAAACAAATCGATTTTATTTTGTTTTATTTACAGAAATCGTATCGAAGAGTATTTAGCAAATATTTTAACACAATGTTCAATTTATGAAAATTTAACTTCATCACAACCAGGAATATGTGAGTTTAAGTAAGACTGATATTGCTTTACGCATATCTCAAAAATCGCATTTTTTGAATTATTCAATGATGCATTGTGATAAAGTTGTGTTAACTCAAATTAAGTGCTCTTGGGAAAGTTACAGAAAAAACCCGTGCAACTTAAATTTTTAAATGATCTAAATGAGCTAGTGACTAAACTCGCTCAAACTTTTACCACTGAGTAACAAGTATGAAGCTCATGCCAATTGTTTTAGTTCAAGAAACCGTACAGTTTCACTATCTCATACAAAAACTGCTGCTCAAAAGATAGAGCGTATAAATATGTTCAAGAATAAAAAACCAAAGATTAATACAGATTAATATAAATTCATTTTATTCCTCTAGGTTCTCATCAGCTTCTTGCGACCTATAATAATCAATCAAAATCCTCTTAGGAATTGGCGAACTTATAAATACGAAAGTGATTAAAAGTGAATATGTGTATTGCAAACCCAACAAAGTTAATAAGATTTCAAATAAATAAATCATGAAAGTATTCTGACACTGTAATTAAAAAATTCATCCATGAAATAATGTGTTATTCGAAATAAGGTGACAACACTATCATTGTATGTAATCATCAGCAACATGCAAAAAATCTTCTGAAACTTTTCAACGAAATTCATATGGATATCTAGTTTACTATGGAACATGAAAATGAAAACGAGTTCTACTTTCTTGATATCGCAATAAAACGGCGGAAGGATATCACATCCCAACGTTCAGTTTATAGAAGAGATACATGGAACAGAATTTACCTGAATCTAAATAGATTTTATCCATTCAATTACAAAAACGCACAGGCTAAAAGACTTCAACAAAACAGAATGGATTATGTCTCCGATAACTTAGAAGAGGAACTAATGAATGTTTAAGAGTGCTTAAGAAACAACGGATACCCATAGAGATTTATTGAAGAAAACGAAAAATGTGAAAATAAAAAAACTCAAAGCCACTACAGCAAACAAAATCCTGTTTTTATTGAACCTAAATTCAAAGGTGACGATGCTACATAAGACTAAAAACTGGATTGACAAAAACATCTTACGGCTAAACGGATTGTCTTGTGCAAAACAATATGTCCCTTAATCTAACCACATATTAATTGGTATCCCTTTCATGTTACCGCCAATTGTATCTACAGGTTCACATTTATCCGTCAAAGCAGTTACATTTAGTGGGACAGAAGAAAGGCCCGTGTCCGATCCAAATAACATATTCCAGAGAGTTGCAGGTCTGACTGATTAAAGGAATTCGGAATATCTTGTCAAAGGTCTACCAAGCATTGATTAAACATATCTGCGATAAACTAATTTTATATAAATCCATTTTAAAATATTACTTTTGTTAGACCACCTGAATCATATTGAATATCCTCTTTTATTCACTGTAAATTTTCACTCCATGGCGTATTTACAGTGAAAGATCAAATTTAAATTGCAACTGTCATGTTCGATTGGAAAATGTGTCATCTTTAATCTTACAGTGTAGTTATGTTGGCCTGTATAAACTTGAGTGTTCGATTCTTTTTTAAATTTATTTCCAGTTCACTGAAGCAGTCTTAGACTACAGTAGATTTAATATTCAATGCTCGATGAGTTTTAATGCCTTAGTCAACATCAGTTTGTGAGGATTGATATTGCTGAGTGCTTCGATCCTCACTATTAGAGAACAACTACTTGATTGATATACACAAATGGATGTAACTAGCATAAATAACATAAGACTTTACTTTTGTACTATTTTTATCTTTTGGTTTTGTCATAAGAACTGGGGGTTTGTTTGTAGCACCCAGACTCATATCGATTTCTTTGCAAAGGGAACTGATGGATCCAGTGATCTAATGGCTTTATTGCTCAGTTTTCAGTATCCGGTTGCATGCTTGACACCACCTGTCAAGCAGCTTATCAGTATCACTCACTTTCCTGTAGTAATAGTTTCAATGGATCCGTTACTGAATAATAATGTTCGCTTTGAGATTACAACTGCTTAAATAAGTTTCATAGCAACAAGTAGATTACTGTAAAATTGACTAGATTGTGTTCACTCAATCTCGTTGACTGTCGGCCTACCTATTTAACAACTACTGGCGAGTCATAAATCTACTATTCTATCTCAGTTACTGTATATTTTTTAAATATATACCACAGTGTAATTCAGTTAAAATAATTTCCTTCCTTATGCAATAAGGTAGAGTGCATTATTCATCGTAAATAATTATGCCTAATTCCATATAATTCAATTATCTTCTGAACATTTCAGTGATCGGTTCAAGAGTCGATTCTGTACATCTAGTTCAACTAAATGAAATGCGATCAACATGTTCTATTCTGTTCACTTGTTTGCGTCAATTTTGGTCAAATCAATACACTGGTCGTATACATGATCCAACATTTCTCAAACATTTGTCTAATTGGTTAATTTTAACTGTAAGTTAACTAACCAACGATGTCTAATTAATTCCATTTAAAATTAATGTTTGTTTTTTTCCAAGAAATTCTCTCTATGTTAAACATTATTTTGTGGTAATTTATTTTCATTTATTAGGATTTGAATACAGTTTTGACCAAATCTTTAGTGTTATTTGTTTACCAAATGCAAGCTTGTGTAATTGGCTTTAGGTCTGAATTTAAGTTTACTGCCTAATAATATTATCCTTGTAGATGTATTTATATCAAAATCTAAGAAACATCACATAGTCTAACCTTTCAAATGGTTGGCTTCATAAATCGTAACTGTTGATTGTATAGTTTCGATTAATGTCATTGGAAAACATTTTCTGACGAGCAGATAATTCTATAAATCAAATCAATTTGTAATGAGAATTCTCCTTTAAAAACTTTACTCACTGTAAATATGATCTAATTAACACTAAAACGTTTCATTAAAATCATAGATCAGTCAATATTTGACCAATTTTGGAAACCTAAAGACACTGAACAACCGTTTCGTTCTAATTTGGAACTCCCCAGCCGTGCTCATCAATGAACACGCAAGTATGAATTGAACCAAAGACCTTGGGTCTCACATGCTAACTCTTAACCTCTAGACCATTGAGTCAACCATCTAGTGGTGTTAACGTTTAACTATATAATGTCATTCGTATGAACAATTAGGTAATAATCTCCAGTAATAAGTAAATAAACTTTGCATACAAAAAAATGTAAATCATATTTTAAACCTATAAATTTCCAGTCTATAATATTAAATGTTAATATTAAACTTATGTGTGAATACAATGCATTAAACTTCTCTTTTTAAAAAAAACTATGATTGTTTAACAGTAATAGATTACTTTTTAAAATAAAAACTGAGTCTCTGTCTTTATAATAACCATGAATAATAACTATAACAAGATTATTGTGTTATTAGAATATTTCTTCAATTTCATTTCCCTAGTTTCAATTTGTTATACTTTTCTTGGTCAATCAGAATATCTTAGATCGAAATTAATCCATTACTTTAAGATAATTGATTACAACTAAATTCCTTACGGTAAATTATATTATTTTTCATTTGATCTTTTTAATAGGCTGGTGTGACTGTTCGTGCTTGTAGATCGGAAGATCATATATTTATTTTAATGCAATTACTACGTTTACCATCACAGTTAATCAGATTATTCGCATGTTTATTACAACCTCCAGATCCAACTGTTGCATGGGAAAGAACAAAAAATCTTGTCGAATTTTTAAATCAACCAGAAGTTGAACTGATACTAACATTGTTTGCTATTTGTTTACGTCCTGTCCGGTAAGTTACGTCACCCAGTGACCCATACAACCTAACACCACACTAATGTAAAACGTGAATACTATCACTTATTATGTCAAGGTTTGGCATCATGTAATCGGCTATAATGATCATTACCTACTGGGTGTCACCATCTTGAAGCACTGGCTTCGGCAGTTAGAATATGTACAACGATAATCATCCTAATAACTTCCCTACTGTGCACTACTTTCTAACGCTGAGAACGGGTCGTAAAATCGGAGACGTCGGTTTATCTGATTTTACATTATCGATTAGTGTGTAAAACACGAAGAATATTTTGGAAAAACCCTGAATTTTCGTTTCATGAATTTACTGGTTTCACGCATTAAAAGGACATATTTCCTGTCCAACTATGAATGGATATATTCATTCATACTGAAACAGTGAAAAACTCATGGGACTTTTTTCAATATTAAATTTTATAATTGTCTTTATCAGGTTTCATTCATTTATAGTTAAACATCTATACTTTTTCTTGCATTTTTGTTTATCATGTAGAGAACGTGCACGTTTTGTAACGCCTGCAAATGGTGCATCGTTTGAACAACAGACAAGTTCATCAGTAAATCAAGATGGTACAATTTGGACAATGGTTGATTCAGCTGGTGAAAGTGATACAGAAGAACCTGGGGGCATTGAAGTTAACAAGAAGAGTAAAAATTCCACTAATAAGCAATGTGATATTTTTATTCCTTTGCCTGATTATAATCCTAATCTAGAATCATGTACATATTTAAATCCCAACGATCTAAACTGTTTACTTGGTCAATTAAGAATTGAACGTGTTTTACAACTCTTAGCTTACGATTACATTCCACAGTGTGAAAATATGCAGGATTTTCCGATTCAAGAATCTGGATTTATGACTTCAATTGCATTTGCTGATCGTGTGCTTAGCTTAATTGAAGCATGTGGAAAAATCTATGCAGAACATGTCCTACCACCAAGTCCACAAACTCATTTAGGTTCATGGCGTTCGTTGGCTAAACGATTAGCTCATCTTATCAGGTTAGTTATCGCTAAGTTCTTATCATAACTATTATTAGCAGAGGTGAATAGTGACTATCAGTGAAACCAAGGACGCGCGTTTCGTCTTAGTTCGGACTCGTCAGACCGATATACCTGCATCTCAAAGTCGATGTTCACTCCGAAACTCGAACTCAACACCGTTCTGTTGAAATGCAATCGTGTTATCCATTTTAGCTACTGGATCCAGATAGCCACTGGCTTGTGCGATGGGGTGAAGAATAATTCATTTGTATTGGCTGTTCGAACTTTCCCATCGATAGTTAGGACTGCAATTGATCAGTCTCTTAAGCAAATGTGCATCCTGTGTAGATTACCTCGATATTGATATTTGGTTATAGTCATTATTATCAGAGATGGTCACTGGTGTTTGAAACGCGCTTCCTGGGTTCTCACTGATAGCTACTCTCCGTCTCTATTGGTGTATAAATACTTCGATATTGTGTTATTTGCAAATCGGAAAGGTCCTTTAATATAGGTCAGAAAGATTCAAATTTAGTATCAAGTTGTAATCAATATAATGGTACAGTAAATCATGTGAACAAAATCCATGGTAGGAAAAATTTTGTGTCAGCAAGAGATAATAATAATAATATGAGCATTGAAGTCAAAGTTATTGTGGTAAAAATGAAAATAAACGAGTCGGGTCTTTTATTGATGCTTTTAAGTAACCCAAGCTTTTGGAATTTCGTTTGATAACCCGGCAGAGTATTCATCATTTCATCTATGTAATGTACATTGCTTAGAATTACAGTACCTGATTCATTATCTGATTTGGTGATAAGTATGTGTTCGTAACACCATAATTCAATTCTATTAGACTACATTTCTTAGTAGTAAGCATGGTTTAATCTGATCCAAAAAATTCAATCAATTTTATGAGCTAATCACAATAATGGATTCCTCTTACCTTCATTTGTACTTGATTATACTCTACAGTCATGATGAAGAGATAATAGCTATTGGTAGTTTAAGCAATCATGTATTGATTTTATCAACCAGGTTCAACTGAGTTTCTGCTAGTACTCTTATTTAGAGCAATATGTTGTTTCTCCGAGATTTGAATCAATTTGTACATGATGTAATTTTTAGCTCGATTACATCTGCTCAGTCCAAAGATGAATCATAAAGTTACATCTCTTTTCCAATATCATCATTACTAACCTTTTATAGTGTTTTATGGTTTAGGACTGGAATTTTTCAAATGGCTTTATAAATTTTCTTTCTTGACAATTACCTCTCTAAATAACTATTTTGTTCAGCAATATTCTTCAAAATAAATTTGCCTGTGATAAGCTGATAAATATGTATACACTTTCTAAAGTTTAACTTCAGACATTACCAAATATGGTTTAGAATAGGAATTGGCGCTGATCGTGGTGTAGTTTTCGTTGATATTTTTCCTGAAATGAGAGAGCAGTCTGTGTTAGTTGTATTTTTAACCGAATTATACCTTCTATTATTACATACTATTCTTATCTACTGATACCTTTGTTTTAACAGTACTCCTTTTTACCCTCTTTTGTTTCTTCACAGTGATGTTGATTTATTTGTTTGGTACATATAATTTTTCTGAGTGCTAAACTGTACGGCATTTTATATGGATTAAACAAATCAATAAAATGCTTTTTTTGTGTGCCAGTAATTAAAGGACTAGAGTTTTCAACCATTAAACTACTAACTTAATTCCTATTTTCCACATGCTTTATTTTAGATTGTTCAATAGTATTACTAGCTTGTAAACACAAATTATGTTTCAAGGTTGTGTTGAACGAATTTATTTTTATTTTAAAAAAATAAAAATATTTTCAACCATGAATAAAAGGATTTTCTCAAAAATTATATTGGTTTTGAATAACTTTTTAAAGAATTCTTTCTTAAATCATATCGTTATTATAATTTCAACTAGTGATCACCAATTGCAGACCCAGTGTTTATAATTTCTTAATCGTGCAAGAACTCACAAGCTTATTTGAAATTTAATTCACAATATTATAAAATGAATTGTTTTTTTGTTCAAATAGACCATCAGACTGTAGTTCAGTGATGTTACATAATTTTCAACATTCTGAATTAAATTCACATTGTACATAAGCGTTTCAATGTTAATGATTCCTAAATGAAAATCGAAACATCAGTCAGTCAGCTACAACATAGAACTTGGTACGTATGTATATCAGTTCAAGTCACCATACTGTATTAGCACAGACACATGGAATTGTTCATTCAAAATCTCATAATGGTTGAGATTGTAGAAGTATCAGTAGTAATGAAGAAGATTAGAGACCGGAGATATGATTCAAGTAGTATATCCATGTGAAATAAATTTAAAAAGAGAGAGAGATGTGATGAGAAATTCAAAAGATTAGAATTTGAGAAAAGATAATAGTTCTTTGTCGGATATATTAAATTATAATTGATAAAACTTAATTTTCAATTAATCGTTATATATATATATATATATATATATATAATTCAAATAACAATAATCAATCATTTGTTTGTTTGTTTGTTTTTGGTCTTCTATTTTCAAGATTATTACTTATAACCATTGGATTTCGTATACAGACTATTGTCTATCAAAAACAATATCATTCTTTACAAAATTCACCACAATTCACATTAATTTTATCACAATATGATGCATTATGTATACGTGCAGTGAATTGTCTATTATTAGCTGGTAGTGGTCTACCTGATGTTTATCAAAAAGCTGGTCAATTTACATGTTGGCGTAATTTAGCTTGTACATTACCATTAGGTTTAACTATGATTAAAACTAAAAAAGAATTATTTTATATTATTTTAATGTCAATTTTACAAAATAATCATATGGATTATCAACAAATTAATGAAAATTCAATGAATATTTTAATCAAAGAATCTATTATGAATAATACGGATAATTTAGAGAATAGTTTACCTGATATGATATTGAATAAACTACATCATGCTTTATTGTCAATGCGATTTAATGAACTTGGTCTTTCTGTAGTAATTAATGTCTTAGGTAAATTAGCTTCATTAGAATGTCGTCCAAGAATTATACATGAAAATCATCATATGTCAACAATGGGATCAATGAATACATTGTATAGATATGAATTACCTAAAGATGAAGCTTCATTAATCAAATGTATCATGCGTATTATATTTGGTGTAAGTAAAATTATTCATTTTTGTGTATATAATATATAAATTTATATTACGGGGTTGTGAAGATTGTTAAGTTTTATTGAAACCATGAATCGGTCAATGTTAGACCACCATTAGAAACCTGGAAGCACTGGACGGCCGTTTCGTCCTGGTATGGGACTCCTCAGCAGTGCGCATCCACGACTCCTGCACCCATACCAGGACGAAACAGCCGTCCAGTGCTTCCAGGTTTCTAATGGTGGTCTAACATTGATCGATTCATGGTTTCAATAAAAATATAAATTTATATTATGCTGTAAATCTTTTACACTTGCAGCATATGAACTCTAAGCTAAGAATTATAAAAGTATGATTTTATCGTCAAATTATTCAATTTATAATGAATGCGTAACAAGTTTCAACCTAACTTTATCTATTTTGGTTTGAACAGATAAATTTTACGACTGATCATTACACAATCTTCAAATTATTTATCTAGTAACATGTTCGTGTACTTGATTCCCAGTAACATTTTAAATTCTAACACCTTTGCCCAAAATGAATTAAGTGAAATGTATTCTGAACTAGTAAATTGCTAAGCAAAAGTTGAATGCTACCATTGAGCTATCGCTTCATCCCTGTATATAATTTGATCTAAAAACAGGACTGTATAAACTTGTACTTAATAAGTTATTATCAAATTAATATATTTTTTTCTTAATATAATGATAGTTTTAGCATTTTCATGTTTGTTTGCTTGTTTGTCTTTCTTTTAAGCATATTGTTATCGAATTTGATTTTTTTTGTCTGTTGGTTACTCTAGTTATGTGTCTATCATAGACCGGATGATGCAATTAGTCAAAAAGACAACAAGTTAACTATAAAACATTCTATTTCCTCTATTGTTACTTCGACTACTTCTACTCCGATTCTTTCATTATTGCCTATATCACCAAAATATGGATGTAAACAATTGATTGAAATTGCCACTAAACATCCACAAATATGTTTACATTTACTTTATGATTTAATTATTGAAAGTGCATTAGATTTAACAACTACAAATTCATTAACAATAAAATTACACGAAAAAATAGCTCAATTGAATTTATGCTTTGGTGATCAATACATGCGAGTGGAAGATGTAGGTTGTATTTATATAAAATATATTTTCTAAAAAAATGAAATCAAACACTGTGCATTAATTTTATTATTATTATTATTATTATTATTATTATTATTATTATTATTATTATTATTGATACTTTATGGTAAAGTTGTCTGTCTTCTTAATAATGTTTCTTTAATAAGTTGACTTGTTAACTGCTGTAAACAGTGTGAACATAGGCATTTGTCTCTTCCTTTTCTTATCATTTCTTACATCCGTTTTATGCTTATTGACGTTAACCTGATGAATTCATATTGAAATATAAAGCATCTTAATTAACAAATGTCATCAACGGATAAAGAGGAAAAATATAATTTAAACGAGAATAATGTTAACATAGAGTAGGCAGATAATCATTAGTTATTATTGTTTCTTTTGATGAATGGCGATATCAATTTAGTTAGCACCTTCGAAATGTACGTCTTTTTCATCATTTTAGATTTTACTTCAATTAGCCATGGATGCACCATTTCATATTATGCAACCGACCAATAAACAATTAGAATTTTTAATCAATTCACTTTGTCATTATACAACAGATTGTTTTCTACACAAATTATGTCGTCTATTCTTATCACGTTTCAGTTGGGATGCATTCAAAGATCTAGTAAGTTCTTTTCATATGTTTGTTTATGAACTGTCCTACTGACGAACGACTTAGAGAGTTCTTGGTTTTTTTTCGTAGTTTCACTGCAAGATTGAGCTGAGTTGGAAAGATGCCTGGTTAGTCTGTAGTTCTCTTGAAAACCTATGTAAAATCACCCTCTTGCATGTTGTGCTTATCATTGTACACATCTTACTGACTCTGGGAATATCTCAAAATTAGTCGATAGTAAGCGAACTTGTGGTTGGATCAATTTTAATGGTTGCATAACTAACATCAATCTCTGATGTAAACTATGAAATTCAACAATCTTCATAAGTACTCTTCAATATTGATGAATAACTAGCATATATTCCACTGAGTCGTATCATAAAATGATTAGCTCACATCTGATTTTCAAACTTCTGACATTAATAGATCATGCGTGGTATATTAAAGCACCCTATAGCTCTAATTGCTCAATATAGGTATTAACTCAGTGTTTAAAATACGTCACTGTCATTCCTTGAGTTACAAATGCTATGATAGGATCACAAGCTCTTACGCACAAAGCCTTTTGGCGCAAAGTTGAGTGCACGAATTTTTACTGAGTTACTAGATTTCATTAAACTAAATTCTACTTAAAGCAAGTTTAGTTAGATATAATCTGATCGCTTCATGCTTTTTCTTGGGGTACTACAAGAAACTAGTCGCTGAATGAATAACTCAATGATAACATTTTTATCTAACCACACATTGAGTAACATGAGTTCAAATACGCATGAAATTAATCACTTCCACTAAAATTACAGACTAATGTGTCCCAACTAGCAAGAAACTTATGTTAAACGGAGCTTCTTCTTCTCAATCACTTTATACCATCTGCTATGCAAACTAATAACATATACTAATATTCAGTCACTTAAACCAGTGAAATCACCTTGCAATAGAAATAAATAACATTTTACCACCACTAAAGACTAAACAACTGTATATATATGTATATATTACTTATCACTCAGTGTATAAACAATATCCTATTAAGAATTCAAAGTAATAGAGCACTGTTATCGATTTAAGCAAATTTAAACGATTTTGCTCAACACTTACACTATTTCTTCTTTTCTGGGGCAATTCACACAAAATATATATCTATATTATTTATAAACACAAATCTATAACTTGCAATCTTTTATATCGGATTTTATGTATTGTACACAAATTGTCGATGATATTGATCAAACATACACAACAATATCACTCTATGCTGCAGATATAGTTATATAATTTCATTGTTGTACATTTATGATAGTTTTTTTTTAAGTAATATTTTTTCCTGTATATCCTTAAACTATCCATGAATTCATGGAACAAATTACTCCTGTGCAGCTTCAGGAGATGCAGTCCTATTGTGGTGCTGTGGTGCGAACTACTTATAAGTAGGATATGACGTGAGTGTCAACGTAAAGTCTGGTAGCATAATATGGGGGGAAGATCAAGAAAGGAAGAGTTAGAAAACAATGGAATTTGTATGAAACGCATGAATAGTGACAATGGAGTGATGTTTTGCAACAGGAACAGTCCAGTTCCATAGGATGAACTGATCTTTTGCAAATGAACGATTTACGATATGGTTTTCCGATTTTACTGAGTAACTCTGTAATTTTCGCTAAATACAATTCGGTTGCCCCCACCTGTGTTCTCATTCACTACACTATGATGACCAATAACCAACAACAAGCCACTACGCCATTCCTTCCATCAAGATCATTGAGCTTATGTGTGCATCATTGTGTATTTTGAGCACATACAACACAACAAAATTATCTGAATTGTCATGTTTTCTTAATAGAAAATTCATACAAACATTTAAAATTACTCTTAACTGTTCTTTTAATTTATCTCTTATTTTCTATAGCAATCACAAGAACCATTTATTCCACTCAATTTACATTTGGATATGACTTTAGGATTATGTGAAATTGTAGATAAACACATGTCTGATCTATCTCATTTTCATTTATCCAAATTAATTAATCCAAAATTGGTTAGTAAAATGTATTAGTTAATTAATTTTTTTAATCTATTACTTATTTATCACAATATTGACTTTTGATTGACTTTTTGTGAATATCCTATTTTCGATTTAATGCAAAACTGATTGATATGGTTAAGGTTTTTCAAAGATTACAGGAGTTTTTATAACTGCTACATTGCCTGACTTGGCAATTGGACAATCTTACTAAAGTGACCTAGACAAATTGTATAGTTGGAAATTCCTTAATACGTGATTACTTATCATGAGACTACTGTCGTCGATAAAATTTTATTTATTTCAATACATAATTATTAGTACCAAGAGGCACTTAAATATATTTGTGTGCCATACAGATTACCGAATTTGTGAATGGGCTGAGGTACTGCCCGGCTGCCCGAACCATAGCAAGTGGTTTTCTTAGAGAACCACTCCGTGAACTTTTGACCCAAAAGTTTAATCCACAAGGTAGGTAATGGAGCAACTTCAAGAGATACAGTCACATGGTAGCCGACGACTGACAATAGATTCATACTCCATTAGTTCCATCAGGATTCTGGAGCCCATATGCGTACTTTTGGTTTAAAATGAGAGTTTCAACCCGTTAGGTGGACCACTCAAAGCTCTGAAATCTGTCATTTTGATCTAGGTATATTGCCAAATATGAGTGTATAGCTAAAATTTCAAACTTCTTAGTTACTTTTGGCCTAATTATTTTTTCCAATCTTAGGTGTCGAACATTTATAAATCTGCAAAATCTTCTGTGAATGTATTCACTGCCACATTAACTGATCAGTTTCTATCATCTCTACATATTAGTCAACAACGATTAAGAATTAAATCAAGCGGTTTGAATAGACTAACATATGGTGCATCAGATTTACCACGTCGTACTCATAGCGTAGAAAATGTCACCGTTTCATCATCGTCATCATCAAATCCTGATCAAAATTTATCTGTTATGCAAGATATAATTGATTGGGCTGCTGAATTATTACTACGCTTAATTATTCCCGGTTCAAAATATGATCAACATTATTTCACCGGTACTGAATCATGCAAACTTAAAGAGTACATTAATCAAATCTGGTTTAAATTATATGCTTTAAATCAAAAAAATAAATGTGATCAGAAAAAATCATCATCATCATCATTGTTGAATCCAATCACTTCATTTGTTATGTTATCATTACAAAGTGTCTATACAACATTCGGTAATAATAATATTAATAATAATGATAATTACCCAATGATCACTGCTACAACTACAAATGATTGTTTATTTTGGCAACCTGAATCATCCATGTTAAATCAATTGTTAACATCAATATATTCTTATAAACATTACAAATTGACATTGCGTACATTTGTTATTCTCTGTAAATACATTCCATTATTTCATTCGAATGGTAATAACAACATCAACAACACCAACAACAACAACCAGCAATCAATAATGATAAATTTCTCATGGCCAGAATTCAATGAATTACTGCATGATTTATTAGACTGGTCAAATTCATCATCATCATCATTGTTGTTATTC